TAGTCATAGGCACGACAAACGGGGTCCGTTGGGACACCACGGGGATCGGGGAAACATCAAACGGGGAAGCCGGGGTCCCGAGGTGGGAGAAATTCCAGCGGGTAGCCGGTGGGTGGGGGTCCACCCGCCGGCTGACACTGTTCCGGGCAGCGGGTGCCCGGCGGGCAACTGCCCGCCTGCCGGCTGCCCGCTGCCGGAGCTGCCCGAATTGCCGCGGGTAGGTGGCGGGTCCCCTACCCCCACCTACCCCCCACTGACTCTTTTCACCACTTTTCGTCCCGGGAACCGTTGTGGAACCCGAAACCATGCTTAGACATTTTTCAACGTAATTAACGACAACACATAGACAATTAACGGATCAATACGATAAACGAACTGCACATAACCTAACATGCTTTTCTAATCATAATCAACACCCAAACATGCGATCTTCCACCCGATAATCCAAGAATAAGATCATACGATATAACCTAGGGTTCTAATCACTTTTATATCAACAAGAATACGGTTCGTCTTCTAATTGCAAGATTCGGTAGGAACAACACATAATCATCAAGGATACCAATTAATCATCAAGAACATCATAATCATAAAGAACAACACATAATCATCAAAATCCCAATTAATCATCAAGAACATCATAATTATCAAGAAACTCCCAATATCAAGATTATCAAGATTCCCCATGGAATCATTAAATCAACATCAATAATAATCATAGTAATTCGCCATCTACAATCATATGGGGGAAACCCTAAGGGGAAATCATAGCTATGAAAATAGGTTTTGTTGAGACATGGGTTACCTCTTAGCCTTAATTAGTTCCTTGGCTATTAAGGGTCTTTCTTTAAGCTTTCTTGCTTTCTTCTAAGGGAATTCCTGGAGCTCTCTTGGGGAGGTGGGTCGTTTAGGCGTGTGGGAAGTTCTAGGTGTCTTCTAAGTCCCTTATTTATATATTTAGGAGTCCTAATTAGGAATTAATACTATAGGCTTGCTAATTCTATTTCTTTCGGAACTAAGGATTGGGTTTAGGAGTTGGGTATATATATGAGGGCCCATGGACTATGGTGGGCCTTTTTCCCTAATTAAATATTATGATTTATTCTTTCTCTTGGGCTATTATTAATTAATTAAATGGTTTTAGGGGCCGTAACACGGGGTGTTACACTCTCCCCCCCTTACAAGGGGCTTCGTCCCCGAAGCCCGGTGTTATAGTCCATCCTTTCACCCCTAGACACCTCGCAGCTCGGCCTCCTGATTAGGGTTGCGGCCTTACGTTTGTCTTGGCTTGGGGTAGGCTGAACTTTTGATGGTGTTGTGATAGAGAATTTTTCGGTTGTACCTCGGTTTCCTGCGCTGGAACTGGATGCACCGCGAGTGCCCAAGGCGGCCTCGATCGCTGCTACCCTTTGATCGAGTGCGCGTGTGGTGCGAATCAAGGATGAGAACCCTTCTTCCATGATTTGATTCTGCCGGTCGAGCTGAGCGAGTATGCGTTCGTTGACCGAACCCTCGTTTTGTCCCCTCGGGTTCCCTCCTGGCTGTGGGTGCACTGACGGGTTAGGCCCGTCTTCTTCCTCTTGTCCCTCACTTCCCTCCGTACCTCCGCAATCTTGCATGGCTCACTTGAGCTTTTTGTTGGAGATGTCCAATCGATCAACCAATTCCCTACGTTCCTCCTCGGGTTTTTGGCAAATTTCTTCGAGGGTGAGATAGTGTCCTCCCTCGGTGTAGTAGATGTCGTTGCGGCGGAGGTTTTGGGCATTGAAAACCATGTCGCTGGCGGTTTTGACCTCGGTGTGGCTTAGGTCCACCCCCTTTTTCTCCATGATCCAACTTAGGATCATCCCGTAGGGTAGGCTAAGCCGGTTGTTTGTTTTGCAGAACTCTATGTGCTTTAGCATGAGCGCCGGCAGGTTGAACTTGATTTTATGTTTTAGGAGATACGCAAAGGTGCACTCCAAGCTTCCCACATCCTTACTCTTGTTATTGGTGGGCAAGAGTGTAACACCCCTGATTTTCAAGACATTTAAAACTTAATAATAAAGGTAACATCTCATTAAATCCCAAAACGTAACATAAGTGTACGGGGTGCTATGCCACACCTGGGCTAGAGAACCCAGGTGCACAGGCTGTCTAACTACTATCCTCTGAAATATAAATGCATAATATGGCACGCAGGCCGAAAGGGAAACTATACTACTTCTACGTTCCAGTTCTAGCGAGATATATCTGAAACTATGCTCTAATCCTCTGTGCCTGAAAGCCAAATATATCTGTTCAGCGAGAGATGCTGGTAACCCACTCCAACGCGTTGAAATACAATACATATAGAGATATATATAGATATACGGAAACCATTTTGAGCATGAAGATATATCCTACGAACTCTAGCTTTAAAACCGGGAATGACTCGATAGATAAGGCCAGACACAAGCAACAGTTATAACAGTCATAAGCAGTTCATAAAAGATAAGGCAAATAAGGCAAGGTATAAGCAGTAATCATGACCCATCAGAAACAATTCCCCAATATAAATCCCATAGTCACATTCCCCAAGACACTCATAATCACCACTCATCCATATCACAACACATAACACACTTTGTTGGCGCCACAGGACCAATCGCATGCCCATATATGAGGGTCAGCGCATATAGCTCTGACACGGCCCCGCAGCACCCTGCCCCGTATCGCAACACGGAGGGGTCGATCGCAACCGACCGATGAACCGCAGCTCATCATAATGTTTGATCGCAACCAAACAGTGGACCGCAGCCAAGAGAGTGTGTTATCTGACTGTAGCCAGGAATTCCCATCTGACTACAGCCAGCCTCTGAACCGCAGCTCAGGAAAGATGTCATCTGATTGCAGCCAGGAATTCCCATCTGACTACAACCCGCTTCTGGACCGCAACCCAGGATACCGCCATCCGACTACAGCCAGGAATTCCCATCTGACCATAGCCGGCTTCTGAACCGCAGCTCAGGATAACCAATCCGATCACAACCGAATTGGGGTAACACGCACACATAACACATAGCAAGCACATGCAACCCACATTACACCTTGGGAAGGGGGATAAAACGTATAACAAAACCTATGCGTGATCCATCACTTACTAAGAATAGTCCTAAGGGGTTCATACTTCTTCCACCTAGGTCAACGGGATACCAATTCAACTAGCATGCAATATAATAGACTCATAAACCTACGAACGGTACCCGAAATATCAAACTAGACATAGGCACGACAAACGGGGTCCGTTGGGACACCACGGGGATCGGGGAAACATCAAACGGGGAAGCCGGGGTCCCGAGGGGGGGAAAATTCTAGCGGGTAGCCGGTGGGTGGGGGGTCCACCCGCCGGACAATACTGTTCCGGGCAGCGGGTCGCCGGCGGGCAGCTGCCCGCCCGCCTGCTGCCCGCTGCCGGAACAGTGTTCTCGGCCGTGGGTAGGTGGCGGGTCCCCTACCCCCCACTGACTCTTTCATCAAATTTTCGTCCCGGGAACCGTTGTGGAACCCGAAACCATGCTTAGGCACTTTTCAACGTAATTAACGACAACACATAGACAATTAACGGATCAAATACGATAAACGAACGGCACATAACCTATCATGCTTTTCTAATCATAATCAACACCCAAACATGCGATTTCCCCACCCGATAACCCAAGAATAATAACATACGATACAACCTAGGGTTCTAAACATTTTTATATCAACAAGAATGCGATTCATCTTCTAATTGCAAGATTCGGTAAGAATAACACATAAACATCGAGGATGCCAATTAATCACCAAGAACATCATAATCATCAAGAACAACACATAATCATCAAAATCCCAATTAATCATCAAGAACATCATAATTATCAAGAAACTCCCAATATCAAGATTATCAAGATTCCCCATGGAATCATCAAATCAACATCAATAATAATTACCATAATTTCGCCATTCACAATAATATGGGGGAAACCCTAAGGGGAAATCATAGCTATGAAAATAGATTTTGTTGAGACATGGGTTACCTCTTAGCCTTAATTAATTCCTTGGCTATGAAGGATCTTTCTTTAAGCTTTCTTGCTTTCTTGATTTCTTCTAAGGGAATTCTTGGAGCTCTCCTGGGGTGATGGGGCGTCTAGGCGTGTGGGGGGTTCCGGGTGTCTCCTAAGTTCCCTATTTATATATTTAAGACTCCTAATTAGGGCCTGAATGGTATGGGTTTACTAATTCTATTCCTTATAGGACTCAGGGACTTGCTTTAGGGATAAGGGCCTATATTAATTAAAGCGGATCTTAATCACAATCTGAATAGTAAAAGGTTTACTATCTTTATTCCTAATAGGCTTAAGCCTCTAATTTAGGCAAGGGTCCACGGTTCACGGTGGACCCTAATAATTAATTAAAGGGGAACTAAACATAATTAATCAGATTTAATTATTATTAGCGGGATTAATTAAATAATTAATCCAGGATTAAAGGCCGTAACACGGGGTGTTACAAAGAGGCTATCGGTTATAATCATAACCAATATATTTTGCTCCGCCGATAGCCATTTCCGGTTTGGTCGGGTGGCCGAGGTGAACCCATCCTCTTTCCCGAGTAAGTACCCGAGATAGTCCTTGTACCCCGTAGTTTGGGTGCTAATCCACCCCTTTCGGTCATAGTTGGACACACCTGTGGTGGTCAATTTCAAGAGCTTGGCCAAGCGGCCTTCGGAAAGCACAATTTCCTTGCCGCGGACTTTGGTGGTGATTTCTACCTTGTCACCCCGTTTGGTGGCTACAAGGTGTTGATAGAACTCCTTCACCAATTCGGGGTACGTATCCCCTTTGATGGTGAGGTACGTATCTAAAAGTCCTTGGTGCTCAAGCATATCAACCAATTCCGGAGAGAATTGATCGGGTTCAAGTGCTTTACCTCCGATCACGGTGTAATCGGCATTGTTCCACTCCGGGGTGCGGATTCCGAGGGGTTTCTTTGGCATCGCGATGGGTGGTACTTTTCCGGTGGATTTTCCGGCGAGGTTTCCGGCGAGTCTCCGGCGAGGTGGGCAGCGCTCCGGCGTGTTTTCCGGCAGCACGTTCTTCTTCGTGGGCAAGGAAGGCGGCGGCAAGCTGGGCTCCGGTGATGGCTCGGCGAGGGGAGGTGGCGGCTTTGGAGTGGAGTTGGGCGGTGCGTGGCAGCGGGTGGCGTCCAGGCGAGTGGCGGGCGGTGCCGGTGCCGCGGGTCTTCTCCGGAGGTGATGGCGGCGTGCGGCGGGGTGTAGCCTGGGCGGTCAGTGGTGGCTCGGCTGCTGGCGGCGGTGGTTTCGTGGGGCCGGTGATGGGGCGACGGGGTGGTGAGATGGGTAGGAAGGGCAAGGAAGAGGGAGTGTGGGAGAAGAAGGGTTTTTGATTTGGGGATTTTGTGGGTTTTAGGGATTTAGAGGGGTTTAACAAGGGAGTGTCCCCTTGAGGTTTCAAGAAATACTCATGGCTTAGTGGTTGGGACTTGGACTTATAAATGGGAGGTTTAAGGTTCAATCCCTAGTGGTGACATTAGGCATTTCTTGATGAGGTGATTTTTGTCCTTTTCCTTGTTTCGTCTTTCAGTGAGGAAGGGTTGGGTGGATGGCATAACTTGTGTTTTACTCTCGTAGTGGAATCGGAATTTGAATGAAAAGGAATCTTTATTCATAATACTTTCCAAGTAGCTAAGCTAAGTAGACATAATGCTCCCGAAGTAATTAAACTAAATAAGTCGTCTATACGATATAGGGGGTGGTTACAAGGGGGTGATGGCTTATCCTAGACAAAATTCGCTTTCGGGGTTTTTTTCGGCGGGGTCCGTATGGTCCTCGTCTTCAGGGATTGGGTTTTCCCCTCCTAGGCCTTCTTCGTTTCCGAGGTCGGCTTGTGTTTGGCTCATGACGAATATTTTTCCGGGAGCGCCGTAGCCCCCTTGGTGACCAGTATTCTCGTGTTGGCCCGTGGTGGTGGGGCGCGGTCTTTGGGGCCGAGTGCATTGGAAGGCCTTGTGTCCTTCCCCTCCGCAGTTGAAGCATCGCCAGGGGTTGCCTGCGCAGTCCTTGCCTCTGTGACTTTTGTTGCATCTCGGGCAAGGAAAGTTTCTTGGGTTCGCTTCGTTGCTTCCCAGGGGCGGCCTTGGGTTAGCCGGATTGTTTGATCTCGTGCCGATGTCGTTCCTTGTTCTTTTCACCGGTGGTGCCCCACTTCCGGTGTTCCTTCTTCGCATTTGCTCCTGAGCTCCGCGTTGAAGTAGTTGGATCCGATAGAGGTTCGCGGCACTGACGTAAGCTTCGTTGAGGGTCTGGGGCCTACTTACTACTAGCGCCTTCCGGGCTTCGAAGTTGAGGCCTGATACGAATCTTTCTACCTTGGTCACCTCGGTGGGGACAAGTTCGGGTGCAAAGCGCGCCAGTTCGAGGAATCGTTTATGGTACTCCACGACGGTGGCTGTCCCTTGCTTTAGATGAAGGAACTCTTCATACATGGATGCTTTTATGTGGGTTGGGTAGAACCGTTCACGTAATCGTACCTTGAGGCTTTCCTAGTTGAACCCCGGTTCTTGTCGGTGGGTGGGTCCTTCGTGGATCCACCAGAGGTCGGCCTCGTGTCCGAAGTAGAACGAGGCTATTTCTACACGACGCTCCTCTGGGCATTCTACTACTCCTAGAATCTTGTCAAGAGTCCGAATCCATTCCTCCAGGACTGCGGGGTTGTAACACCCCTGATTTTCAAGACATTTAAAACTTAGTAATAAAGGTAACATCTCATTAAATCCCAAAGCGTAACATAAGTGTACGGGGTGCTATGCCACACCTGGGCTAGAGAACCCAGGTGTACAGGCTGTCTAACTACTATCCTCCGAAATATAAATGCATAACATGGCACGCAGGCCGAAAGGGAAACTATACTACTTCTACGCTCCAGTTCTAGCGCGCTCCAATGCTCTAATCCTATGTGCCTGATAGCCAAATATATCTGTTCAGCGAGAGATGCTGGTAACCCACTCCAACGCGTTGAAATACAATACATATAGCAATATATATATATAGATATACGAAAACCATTTTGAGCATGAGAATATATGCTACGAATTCTAGCTTTAAAACCGGGAATGACTCGACAGATAAGGTCAGACACAAGCAACAGTTATAATGAGCATATGCAGTTCACAACAGATAAGGCAGATAAGGCAGAGCATAAACAATGATCATAACCCAACATGAAAAATCCCCAATATAAATCCCATAGTCACATCTCCCAAGACACTCGTAATCACAACTCGTCCATGTCACAACACATAACACACTTTGTTGGCGCCACAGGACCAATCGCATGCCCATACATGAGGGTCAGCGCATATAGCTCTGACACGGCCCCGCAGCACCCTGCCCCATATCGCAACACGGAGGGGTCGATCGCAACCGACCGATGAACCGCAGTTCATCATAGTGTTTGATCGCAACCAAACAGTGGACCGCAGCCCAAGAGAGTGTGTCATCTGACTGTAGCCAGGAATTCCCATCTGACTACAGCCAGCCTCTGAACCGCTGCTCAGGAAAGATGTCACCTGATTGCAGCCAGGAATTCCCATCTGACTACAACCAGCATCTGGACCGCAGCCCAGGATACCGTCATCCGACTGCAGCCAGGAATTCCCATCTGACTGTAGCCGACTTTTGAACCGCAGCTCAGGATAACCAATCCGATCGCAACCGAATTGGGGCAACACGCACACATAACACATAGCAAGCACATGCAACCCACATTAAACATTGGGAAGGGGGATAAAGCGTATAACAACCTTATGCGTGATCCATCACGTACTAAGAATAGTCCTAAGGGGTTCATACTTCTTCCACCTAGGTCAACGGGATACCAATTCAACTAGCATGCAATATAATAGACTCATAAACCTACGAACGGTACCCGAAATATCAAACTAGACATAGGCACGACAAACGGGGTCCGTTGGGACACCACAGGGATCGGGGAAACATCAAACGGGGAAGCCGGGGTCCCGAGGGGGGGGGGAATTCCAGCGGGTAGCCGGTGGGTGGGGGTCCACCCGCCGGCTGCCCGCCGACCATCACTGTTCCGGGCAGCGGGTGCCCGGCGGGCAGCTGCCCGCCCGCCGGCTGCCCGCTGCCGGAACTGCCCGGAGTTGCCACGGGTAGGTGGCGGGTCCCCGACCCCCACCTACCCCCCACTGACTCTTTTCATCACTTTTCGCCCCGGGAACCGTTGTGGAACCCGAAACCATGCTTAGACACTTTTCAACGCAATTAACGACAACACGTAGACAATTAACGGATCAAATACGAGAAACGAACGACACCTAACCTATCATGCTTTTCTAAACATAATCAACACCCAAACATGCGATTTCCCCACCCGATAATCCAAGAATAATATCATACGATACAACCTAGGGTTCTAATCACTTTTATATCAACAAGAATACAATTCGTCTTCTAGTTGCAAGATTCGGTAGGAACAACACATAATCATCAAGGATACCAATTAATCATCAAAAACATCATAATCATCAAGAACAACACATAATCATCAAAACCCCAATTAATCATCAAGAACATCATAATTATCAAGAAACTCCCAATATCAAGATTATCAAGATTCCTCATGGAATCATTATATCGATATCAATAATAATCATCATCAATCGCCATTTACAACAATATGGGGGAAACCCTAAGGGGAAATCATAGCTATGAAAATAGGTTTTGTTGAGACATGGGTTACCTCTTAGCCTTAATTAATTCCTTGGCTATGAAGGATCTTTCTTTAAGCTTTCTTGCTTTCTTGATTTCTTCTAAGGGAATTCTTGGAGCTCTCCTGGGGTGATGGGGCGTCTAGGCGTGTGGGAGGGGGTTCTAGGTGCTCCCTAAGTTCCCTATTTATAGATCCAAGGGTTTATTTAGAGTTTATTCCTATTGGGTTTAGGGGTTGGGTTTACATAATTGGGCCCATGGGCTATGGTGGCCTTTTTCCCTAATTAACCATTATAATTTATTCTTTCTCCTGGGTTATTAATTAATTAATTAATTAATCAGTTGGTTTTAGGATCCGTAACACGGGGTGTTACACTCTCCCCCCCCTTAACAGGAAGCTTCGTCCCCGAAGCTTGGCCCTGGGTGACAAAAAGAAAGGAAAGTTTTCCCTTAGTTACCTGGAGTGAACAGCTCGGGGTACCGCTCCTTCATTGTGTCCTTAAGTTCCCATGTGGCTTCCTCGGTCCCGTGGTTGGTCCAGAGAACCTTCACCATTTCCACGACTCGGTTCCGGGTATTTCTTGTTTTGGTGTCCAGGATTCTTACGGGTTTCTCTTCGTATACTAGTGACTCGTCGAGGTCCACGGTCTCGTGTTGGAGTACGTGGCTTGGATCGTGTATGTATTTCTTTAGCTGAGATACGTGGAACACGTTGTGTACTCGTTCTAGCTCGACAGGTAAGGCGAGACGGTAGGCCAAGTCTCCGATTCTCTCCACGATTTCGTACGGGCCGATGAACCGGGGGCTGAGTTTTCCTTTTCTCCCGAATCTCATTACCCCTCGTGTGGGCGAGATCCTTAGCCAGATCTTGTCCCCGAGGCTGAATTCGGCTTGCTTCCTTTTTAGGTCGGCGTACGACTTCTGGCGGTCTTGGGCGGCCTTCATCCTTTCCTGGATGTGTTTGACCTTAGCTATGGTGTCTTGTAGGTATTGGGGGCCCAGTGTTACCGGGTTGACCATATCTTCCCAGCATAATGGGGTTCTACATCTCTGACCATACAGTGCTTCATATGGTGCCATGCGAATGCTCGCGTGGTAGCTGTTGTTGTACGAGAACTCGATGAGGTCTAGGTGTTCTTCCCACGTCCCTCGGAAGTCGAGCGCGCAGGCTCTTAGCATGTCTTCGAGGGTTTGGATGGTTCTTTCGGTTTGGCCGTCTGTGGTGGGGTGAAAGGCTGTGCTTAGCTTTAGTTGCGTACCCAACGCCGCTTGTAGCGATTTCCAGAATTGCGAGAGGAACCTGGAATCTCGGTCGGACACAATGTTCCGGGGAACTCCGTGGTATTTCACTACCCGGTTTACGTAAGCTTGGGCTAGTTGCGTCATCGTCCATGTTTCTTTCATGGCAATGAACCGCGCTGTCTTGGTGAGTCGA